ATAAAAGTCCCCGAAATGACAAAGGTAAAACAATTCAAACGAGAAAAATAAAGGCCTAATTAATGTACAAAAAAATAAACGAAAAACAAATATGTAACACAGCAATAACATATTCATAATTCGCCATAAGAAGATGACACGGGAACATCACCATCTAAAAATGAATCATTAACGATAGGAAATGAAAAACCATAGCTTTTATCGTAAATGTTGGTATTTAACCTCCCGTTAAAGATATAGATATCAAAATCCAGGAAAGGGCAGTCTTCATTGTTAGTATTAGCTTTATTTAAAGTTAGTTCAGCAGGATAAATCTCTTTGGTGTATATACTGAGGTCGTCATAATTGAGAGCCAAAATATCATCTCAATATCTAAAAGTGTTTTTAAATTTTTGTATCAGATGTTGTTTCGACAGGTCTTTGCTGATTTTAGTCATACAATGTAAATTGTAACTCATAACAATACAATAACAGGTCCGTAATAAGTGGTGCACAGTTTGTCCATACTTAGCTAAAATATAGTTACAAATGACATCAATAGGAATTTGATGAAACTTCTTGTCTTCTATGTTTATGGAGGGCTCAAAATGCCAGTTTGATGTTCAAAATATACAACAAAATGCTACCAGAGATCACTTAAATGACCATGAGAAATAAACTTTTTCAAAGATATTCTTTTGATAGTACTAATAGCTATACCTTGCCTTACTGTAACCAAATTTTGGAGACTTTGCAAGAACAGAAAAGTTTTACTGTCATTTAGGGCACCATGTAGTCCTTTGCAAGATAGTTTGAATATCAAACTGATACTTTGAGCCCTCCGTACATATATATTGAAGACACAGAGTTTTCGTAAATTCATCTTCAGAGTACCTGTATTTACATATTAACTTGCTCTGTGTTAAGTTTAATGGCAATTGACAGATCAGGAAGTTTGTAATATATTTTATTGAAAAGCGCTTTGAAAATGACCTATATGGTTTTCCATAGTACGTTAAATATTTGATAAATGTTATTTAAATTGTTAGGATTTTTATTTAAAATTCGGCCGGGGTCATGTAAAAAATAGTATTATTGAATATGTTTTATCCTTTAAATATTAAATCGTGTTCTATGAATTGGGTTATATTTAAGGACAGTGATTAATAACGACTATCTGATTGTGTCAAAAAAGGAATGCTGTCTTTTTTTTCTATTCAACATATCTACATTTTAAACATGGTTATCATTTTGAGAAACCTTTAAGATTTTTAGTTTTTAATATTTTTACTGAAACCTTTTGAATAACGAATCGGCTAATGTCGGCCGGTTGGAGATTGACGCGATATCGAATAACGAAAAACAGCCGCTAACTCCACATACATTATTCTGCCCCGCAAAATGCAGGGCATTTTTTTGACAGAGGTGAACACATTTTTCTCGTGGGGCTATGCCGTGCAAATTAAAAAGGTCTGCAGGTAAAACTTAAAATTTAGTACGAACCAGGGCCCGTATGCATAAAGCTACTTAAGTTAAGATTTTCCTTAGTAAACACTTAAGTTAAGGAAACTCCGCCCTTTTTACCTAAGTGGTATGCATAAAAAATCTTAAACTAAGTATTTCCTTAGTAAATTCTTAGTTGGTTTAAGTCACGCCCACACAACTTAAGTGGTATGCATAAAACCCCTTATACTAAGAAAACGCCTAAGATTACACTTAAGTATAAGGTACCTATAGAGCTATCTTAACTTTTCTAAAATATATAAAATCCGTCGAATGTATGCGTTTTTTGCAGAACATGGATATATTAGCTCCCATTTAATTGAATGATAAATATATTCAGTAATATTTCGTTTGTTTATTGCTAAATATTAACGATCATTGTATTTTCCGAAAGATCACCTATATTCAACAAAACCTAGAGATAACAGAGGGTAGTTTTATAATTTAATTCTACCCTTATTTCTCAATCTCGTTGGTATTCCGAAAAGTGCTCACAGTTTTTACACGCATGGAATTCATGGATTTATTTTTCTTTTGATTTGTTCGGGCCTGCTTACACAAATAACATTAAATGTTAGATTGATAAAATACATCGCCTGGTATCGATTGTAACTTTTAGTACAAAACTGTAAGAAGATCTTTAGGCATGCACAATCCTGTTTTCTTGGGGGGATAATAAATATTAAATCGTGTTCTATGAATTGGGTTATATTTAAGGACAGTGATTAATAACGACTATCTGATTGTGTCAAAAAAGGAATGCTGTCTTTTTTTTCTATTCAACATATCTACATTTTAAACATGGTTATCATTTTGAGAAACCTTTAAGATTTTTAGTTTTTAATATTTTTACTGAAACCTTTTGAATAACGAATCGGCTAATGTCGGCCGGTTGGAGATTGACGCGATATCGAATAACGAAAAACAGCCGCTAACTCCACATACATTATTCTGCCCCGCAAAATGCAGGGCATTTTTTTGACAGAGGTGAACACATTTTTCTCGTGGGGCTATGCCGTGCAAATTAAAAAGGTCTGCAGGTAAAACTTAAAATTTAGTACGAACCAGGGCCCGTATGCATAAAGCTACTTAAGTTAAGATTTTCCTTAGTAAACACTTAAGTTAAGGAAACTCCGCCCTTTTTACCTAAGTGGTATGCATAAAAAATCTTAAACTAAGTATTTCCTTAGTAAATTCTTAGTTGGTTTAAGTCACGCCCACACAACTTAAGTGGTATGCATAAAACCCCTTATACTAAGAAAACGCCTAAGATTACACTTAAGTATAAGGTACCTATAGAGCTATCTTAACTTTTCTAAAATATATAAAATCCGTCGAATGTATGCGTTTTTTGCAGAACATGGATATATTAGCTCCCATTTAATTGAATGATAAATATATTCAGTAATATTTCGTTTGTTTATTGCTAAATATTAACGATCATTGTATTTTCCGAAAGATCACCTATATTCAACAAAACCTAGAGATAACAGAGGGTAGTTTTATAATTTAATTCTACCCTTATTTCTCAATCTCGTTGGTATTCCGAAAAGTGCTCACAGTTTTTACACGCATGGAATTCATGGATTTATTTTTCTTTTGATTTGTTCGGGCCTGCTTACACAAATAACATTAAATGTTAGATTGATAAAATACATCGCCTGGTATCGATTGTAACTTTTAGTACAAAACTGTAAGAAGATCTTTAGGCATGCACAATCCTGTTTTCTTGGGGGGACATCGCTTTAATTTTCAATTATATTGTTTTTTTCTACATGTATTGGGCAAATTTCCCCTAAATTTGTTTCACTAACTGGGACAAAATCAAAACGTTTTAAGACCTACTCCGTGGAATTCAAAGTTTATATATATATGATATATTCATGATACTTAATCCGTATTCAATATTTTTTTTGTATTTCCTTATATATTCTGCAAGTTTTGCATAGAAGGAAGACTTTAACTTTAAATAAATTATGGTGTATCTGAAAGAAATGTAATATGTTATAACTTCCAATAAATTTTGGTTTTGGTAAAGAAAATCCTTCTCGTCAGTTTTAGATAATTGCAAAAATTTTCTAAAATCTGGCCAGAATGCATGCAGTTTTGAGTTATCTTTACGCGTTGATAACTTTCAAGTGAAATATTCAGAAATACGCAAAGATGTTGATAATACCTTACAGTAAACATATGAATCTAATAATGTGTGTATTAGTAAAAAATCGAAGGGCTTTTGAAGAAGGCCCCCTGATTTGCTATGATTTCGTGGAAAATTGACCCTACCCTCTTTTTTTATTGTTATAAAAAGGAAGTGAAAAAAAAGTTTCAAATCGAAATAGATTTCAAAACATCTTATCAATATATTTTAGGATTAAAAAATATATTGTTTTCTCGAGAAAATAAACATGCCTTCCATCCAGCAACACCCATAAAAGATGAATGGTCGGTGCCTTAGAGATGGAACAAATCTGTTTAATAAATACGACAAATTGGAACCTTTTTTAAATGAAGATTTTACTATCATATATCATTAATAGATGGATGATTTGCTACAAGATAATGTTGAGTATCCATTTAGAGACTCTTCGGGTAATTGAAGTTTTGTTTGCAATAAAAATAAAATTGCTAGTGGATGATTCGATTTTTTTTTTTTATATTTTACATTTATCACGCCATGCATAAGTTGTCCCACTTCTTTTGGATCTCTTAAAAATCTCTCCTCATTGAAAGTTCTCTACTTATTAATTTGCTTTATATTTGTTATTTTCTTCTATCCCTAAGAGTGACTGGCAAATAGAAATACGGTCATTTTGGTCTATTTCCGACCGGCAGTAAAACCCTTGTCAAAGTGGGGCGTCCGTTTCTCAAGGATGTATAAGTACGCAACCACGTACGGTCAGAATTGTGGTCGTGAAGAGAGAGATTGGTATTGGTTATTTGTTCTCGTCCTGATGATGCATGACATATTTGCCATTGGACTTTAGGCAAGCATCAATACATCAATCAATTTCTTGTCAAGCCCGTTTCATCTCTCCTTTAGTAACAGTAGGGGGAAGTTTTGCATTACAAATATTTTTTCTCTTATGCGTCAATTTTTTATTTGTTTGGACATTTAAAGTGGTTACGTATTTTTTTATTGTTTTTACACACCAACATCCATTTAAACCAAGTTAATAAAAGTATGTATTGTTCAATCAATGTAAATAATCAAAACAAACTTTTACACGGATGAGTACATGCGATGAGCTAACATATATCATACGGTAATTAGAGAAAGGTTCCGATTTAAGTATTCTTAAGTTAAGTGATGACTTAAGTAATTTTATGCATACCACTTAAGAATTTTACTTAACTAAGGGAATTCTTAGTGAAATCTAAGTTTAAGGAACACTTAAGTTAAGATGCTTTATGCATACGGGCCCAGCCCCCAACCCTCCCCTTCCTTTCCCCCATTTTTTTCTGAAGATCCGATAGACGAAATGTTTCTCTTAGATTATATAACATGTATAAGATCCTACCTCTTTAACACCAGTTGTTTAAATCATCCAAGTCCAAGTCTAGTATACAACTATACTGATTATTGATCGCTAGTTCACCTTATTTATATATATAATGTTCAACTCATGTTGTGGGTGGACGAATCATATCACGGTTTATTTTACATGCTGCGTCATTATAGAAAAAAGTAAAGATAGATGCACGTAATACGTAAAACATTTCTGACAAATACCATACATTTTTACCTAAAGATATCACATGCACATTGATTAAATTTGGGAAGAGGTCTTTGTTTGGCAATTTGTCAAGAGGTCTAAATTCAATCTTTGTAAGATTGGTTGATTTTGACAAATATATCAACTTAACACTAACAGACATGATCGATTTAAGGTTTTCTAAAATGCTTTGTGGAGAAGATAAAGAACCAAAAGAAATTCAAGACATAATGCGCATTTAAAAAAAAAGTTCTGTGAAAAGGATATTGTGCACCCTTTACCTTTACCCCTTTTGTACCTTTAAAGAAAATTAAGTTATGAATGATAAAAGCAATCTACAAGCAATCTGCGATCATTTATCTTTCTACTTTCGTATGAAAAGTTTTTATACAATAGTGAATTTCTAGAGATTGATGATTTTAACTGTTCTCCCCTTGTGTGCAATTTCACAAAATATATATAATGTGTCTAGCTGATTTAACGAAATATAAGTTTTTTCATCTTAATCTATACACAGCTCAGTATATGAACTGATGTAGGATGTTCAATAGAAAAGTATTTCTTCTGGAAAAGCTGAAAAATTAATACTTTGGTTACATCGATAGTCTGGAAATAGCTAGGTGCATGGAAAGCGCATTAAAGTTTGTGCATGATGTGTGTTCCGTGCGTTTTCTTATTTGTAACAAAGATCAGTATAACAAGCCGAATTGGTACACAAAACGATTTTTTCCGGTGCATAATTATTACCCTTTGACATTTTAATACTCTTGTGTCATATTATTTTTACAGTGACTATTATCTATTGTTCCAGTTATTCTTTTTAAGATAATATTCTATTTGTGACATAATGCAAAACGGATTTCCACAAACCGTTTACCTGCGACATTACACAGGACGATAAAATTACGTTGCGTTTATAAATAAATTCACAATACAATAAGGTTTTCTAAAATATATTGGTTGTCGATGGCTAAAAATAGCATTTATTTAAACAAGTTAAATGATCTTTAATGTCTAGAAATAACTTAACAGTAAAGTACAGAGAAACAGCAGTATAATTCATGAACTTTATGTAATAAGATGTTGAGAGCGAATTCGGTGTTTGCTATAGTACACCAAAACACTGTTTAACATAATATCATTGAAAATTATTTTTTTGCAATGTTTTAATTCTAAGATATATGATTTTAGCTATGGATTTCAAAGGCGAAATTACTGAATCATGCGAATAAAGTCACTAATTTTGTTTGAAGCCGAAACTTTTTGTTGATTTAAAAACACTTATGAGAGATCATTATTTATTTCAATTTCAGCTAGGTACACGTTCATCCTTTTGTGATAGGTATGAGCAGCTGTGACGGCCATTCGCCTACCTTTATATTTAATTTGATTTTGGAATGAAAACGTCTTTTTATTGGCTGAAAGTTTTTGTCTATCAGCTAATTTTGTCATGTAAACGTGACGTCATCAACGTTTTTTTCATGATTTAATTCTTTAAATCGGAATTTAGAATTAAATTATAAGGAATGACAGTAATACATGTTTATGCCCCCGTAGTCATGAGACTCACTGAGGTATAAAATGAGATAGTGCTGCGCAGCTGTTACCTTCAGTTTTGAAAAGGATTTTTTGTTGAATTTTATGCATTGATATATATATAAATACAATTCAACATGTTCAAAGTGTATTATATTATTCTGAATCAGTATAAAATAACCATCTAAACTGCATGACGAAATAAAATACATTATGAATTACTACTCCCTCTCAACAGGGTGGGAAGGGAGGGCATTTTATACCTCAGCGAGTCTCATGACTCATAAAACTCCAATCAAACTTCGACTTAACCAAGGTAAGTCTCATTTAATTTTAGGAATATTGTTTTGTCATGCTCACTTCCGGTATAAAATAAGACATTAAAGGAAATTTAACAAAAAATCTCCTTCAATCAAAGGAAAGTAAAAGAATTAAATGTGCTTACTGTTTTGACTGTTTCAGAACATATCTGCAAACCCATCTTTCACAATCTTCTTATCATAGAACTTTGACCATCCTGCTTTCTTTAGGATTTCATCTATTGGAACGACATTAAAGTCCGCTTTAGAAGTGGCGGCTGGTCTAACACTGTGTGAGCCAAATATCTTAGTGTCTATTCCTGAACGATTAAGGACCACCTTAATCCATCTCTTTAGTCACATGTTTGTGAGGTTTCACATATCATATCTAAAGTCTTGAACTTCATGAATCTCGCAAGTTTTTAGTTCAAAACATATACTCTTTTAAAACCATAAATACACATAGTCTCCTATATGAAAGATAAGCTTTACAATTTATAACTGGTTCCTTATAGCCTGGACGACTTTGTTTAACCAAATCGTCAATTTTGATAAACAAACTCTGATTTCAACTTATATAAATTATTTATACAAATCATATGAACTGACTGAATTCGTGTTGCATTTGTCAAAGCAAGCGGCATGGTTAGCTTTAGTGTCAAGTCTTTTAAACTTATAAATTTTACTGGTGATAATTTCCTTACGACTATCTGAACGTCCCAGATATCTGGGTGTGGTACTGCTATATACCCTAAGCTTTTTTCGAACAAACTGTTTAAAAATGCTATAACACTTTCTATAGACGCTTGAAATTGATTAATCTTCCTTTTACCACAGTAGCTATACCATTTTTTGATGAATGTATTATACTGTTCTTGGATCTGTACAGTACCTAGTTATTGACAAGGCAAACGTTATATTATTTTCTTTTCTTGTCGATTCGTTTTTATAACACCGTTAACATAACCATTCCGATAGAGTTGAGGACAGTTAACGAACTAAGAAGGCATGCATGCGATGGCGTATATTCCTGTTGCAGCTGTGCTGAGTGTACTAGTTTTTCAATTGACTTTTAAAACAGAACAAGTTCATAATGCTGTGGAAAACACCTTTTTCAATCTGTTGTAGGTTTTTAATACCTGAGCGTATTTATGAATCTAGGCCCCTAGCTCTTGCTAGACGCATTGGATCCGAACCTTTCGATACGTTTGCTATCCAGTTTCTACTTCATTCATTTATTTAACGTCTATAGGAGCATACCTGAGGGAGGAACTTTTTAAATGACTGTTATGAAATAGAATCAACCCCTCACCATCGTAGAATGAGTTGTCTTCCTTGTTTCGAGTACAGACAATTTCCATAGATAGAAGGTTATTTACCTGGGATGAGGTACAGATCACAGCACACACCACATCCACGTTTAAGATAGAGATTTTATCAAATAGCTTTGTTGATGGCAGCGCTTCCTTTACCACTCAATGCAGCAACCCCAAGGCAGGTACTGTGGATTCATTATAATTCGTGGGATGTCAATTTTCGTTGATTAACCACGAATCTAAATGTTCAACAAAGTACAAATTTTGTATTGGCCTGTATGCAAACCTTAGTAAAACCACGAAATCAAATATCCACGAAAATACAAAGTTTCCTAAATCCACGAAAATTGGTACCCACGAAAATTATTGAATCCAGAGTAGTACGGTTTTCGCTAAATCGAGAAGCGCTTTCATTGCTTAACCTATTAACATGGATAAGAATCCAACTTTATTTTGCATGTTTTGTTTTAGCTGTTTTACCAGGTATACTAAGCTCCAAAACTATATCACATTTACAACCTGTCGATTTTTTGTATTTGTTGCTCTGCGAGCAACATCTTTTGTCCTCTGATAGATTGGACTGCGAGCATGGATGCTGACTGAACAACCATTTTTTGCTGCTTGTTGTAATTTGTTGACTTGACCCTGTGTCAATTTTAAACTGTATTCGTGATAACTCATAATCATTTGTTTTCATCTCGCGAGGAACAAAGCGTATGGTCAAATGTTCGCCTCTGAGTTCGGTGAGAATCCCGCCTTGATTAGTACTCATACGATTGATTGTCTTCAGCGTCACTGGTAAATGTTCAAAGTTTTTAGGATTTTGAATAATTGTCATGCCTGGTAAGACTTTTGGGAAGAAACTGTAGATAATGGATTGTTGTGATCCGTTTACATATCTACCACTGATGATTATAATGCTGTTGATGATGTAATCTGTAGTCGTGTGTGTAGATTTTTCATTCGAATCGCAGTACTGTTTTGATGCTATTGACAACTTTGAAGTCCACTATGTAATGTTTTGCTAAGGTTAGGGTCGCACTCAGCATAGTTCGATTTGCATTGATGTTGATTTTTTTTGGGTGTTTGTTGAGCCTTCGATAGTGTAAACACCAGTGTTCAACGCAATAGTAGATCTAAGTCTAGGTGTTACTTTTATCGTTCGAATAAACGAAAGGTGTTTTTTACCGCATGAGTGTTTGGGAAAGAGTAAAAAGTCTCCAACTTTACTAGAACCATCTCGTAACTCCTTCAACTTTTGAGGTGAATGGGTTGATTGAACCGAGTGTCGATTTTGTCATTACCGGAAATATTGAAAAAAAGCTTTGCTCAGGAGATGTATTGTCGACGATTGGTTATAACAACTCATTATCCATTTATTTACCTTAAACACGACATTCATCTTTTGTCTGTCACACTCGAACTGCAGAATGTTTGTTTGTTTGCTGCGACATTGTGCTCAAATTCTGCTCTGATTTAATTGCCATCCTCAGACTCTTTCAGTTTCTCTGACTGGTGAATCAAATCGATAACGCACAAGGAATATAGGTCGGACAAGTCGAAAGGATTGATGTTACTGTTGCTGATGAGATGATCCATATTGAAAAACTTCTTGCGAAAAATGGCTGCATCTTAAATGTGTAAAACTTAAATATTTTCACTGGATAAAGGCAGCATTGAAGTACATGACTGGGTAGCGTTGTTCGCAAACGCCAATGCTGCGTTATGAGTCTAGTCGATACACTTGTCAGTTTGGAAGGCTACGATGATCAATA